GTACATGTTTTTTGTTTTGACGTCGAGCTAATCCGGGACAATCAAAATTTACGCATCCCGATTGGTCATTTCTCACACACCACATTACGTTACTGCAAAAGTGTCTAGACTAGAGCTGCAGGTGAAACTAAATCACACTGGTGAAATTGGTGACTATCTAAAATCTGATTGGCTATTGCATTCAATAGCCAATTAGATTTTAGATAGTCACCAGTTTTACCAAGTTTCACCAAGTTTTACCAGTTTCATCAGCAACTCTAGTTTAGACTATAGATGCTGGTGAAGCTACAATACCAGACAATAAAATGCATTTAATATTAGAAAAACTTAAAGTATTATAACTTTTTTTTTTTTTTTTTTTTTTTTTAATATTAAGGTGACCACTTGGGGGTCTGGCACGTTTTATTAACTTCGGTTGCGAATGTCAGGGCAGCCACAGGACCATCCCTGACTTTGTTACATTAACAAAGGTATATTCTAGCTATATCTGTGCCTTTTGAGTGTCTAATTAAGTATCTATCTATTACTAGGTTCTACACTAGATGCCATATTTATAACCCACTATTACTTGAGCTACCTATTTAAACTCTCTAATCAACTTAGTGCCATCGGATATTCTTTCTAAAGAGGAACTGCTGCTAAGGCTCCTTAGAACTACTTTATCCTCATGGTAAACCTACTAAAGCGGTCCATATTCTACACATGTATCACCTAGATTTTTGGTAACTTATGCCTAGGCTGAGGTCAAATATTTGCGAGCCGAAGTCATTACCATTACTTACTCCTTGCCCTTATAAAGTTCATCCAAACCTCAACATCCACTTTCCGGACTATCACTGACTTTTCTGACACACCGATAGCGTCTCCAAACTTCCAATCCAGATGGCTTGGAAAGAACTTGCGTCTTCTGGTATTCCAATGAATCCTTTTCTCTATATACACATGGCCTGGTTGGTATGATGCCTTGCTTAACACCCGGTCCTTGTTCAGTTTGCAGTCGGGTCTGATTGCTAATGATCTTCCTTTACATAATACCATCAAAGATCTGTGCTACCTCTCCATTCAGGACTTGCCAAGCAGGCTTCTGTGTGCTCCGGTCTTCTGGATTTACCTGGATTCATCACTTGGGTTTTGTGTAATTCTTGCATTATACTACTGTTTCAGATCCTTCCAATACAAGCTGGTATGACCAAGGTTACAGATGTCGATTCACCAGATTACACACAGTCTGCCATAACACATTCTATAAAATTCGAATTTTGTCACCAGTGGGATTCAAACTCTTGTTCTGCTGCTTGGAGGTGCAACAACCTACCAACTTCACTAGGTCACCACACTTTGGTGTTATAACTTTTTAAAACAAGCTAATTTTAAAAACCCTAACAAATTAATAGATTTTTTAGATAAACTATATTTTTTGTTAGGGAATTTTTTTTATTCTTTGTTTGAAAAAATTATAAAGAATTAAAGTTTATATGAGTTTAAAAAATTGGTATTTAATACAATCCTGGATATTATCAAATTTGGATGTTGCAGATTATCTCTTTTTTGTATGATTAAAAAATTCTTGAGACTGCTATTTAAGTCTATAACTAGTTTATAAAAATTCTTGTGGCTAAATTTATATCAATTATCATTTGTTTTCTTATTTGATAAATAACTGCCTTTTAAAGCTTTTGGATTATAGCAGATTCTTAAACTACATAATCATAAGACAATTTATATTAAAATTAATTTAAAGATTTATTATAAGAATAAATATATATATTGTACCCTGCAAAGTTATTACTTATCACCTCTACTATAAAAATCAGATTTATTAATATTTATATTTCACATACTTAAGAGCATCGCTTATAATATACAAATTACTTCACTAATATAATATTAACAAAGTTATTATTACATCATATAGTAATGATATGCTTAAATATATTGTGAAATTATTATAAAATATTAAACACAATCGTTATTAATAACTTGTATCATCATACAATGTATATTGCTAGATTATATTACAAATAAAACTGAAACTTATTAATTTATATTACTATATAATGCACATTACAAGATCATACTCAAAGTTTAATCATTTACATCATCATGTAATACATTAATTTTATCATATATTAAGCAATTTGAAGATTATATATAAAGCAAATTCTGATCTCATTAATGATTTTGTTTTTCATTACTTTCACTATAATTAATTATTGTAATAAAAATATGTTATTATATCAAACTATTATATAAAATTTTTTAAATTATGATTTTGCAGATTTGATGAAATGAAAAGATACATCTGTTTTAATAATAATGCTAAATGTTCTACTCAGATATTATCTAATAATTGTGATGATAATTAAGAAAATAACAATAAAATATTATTTACCAAATAAATACTAATTCTAAAGAATGTAAAATACATTAAATAATATAAATAGTAAAGTTGTGATAACTTCAGAAGATATATTTAGAAATATAGTTTTTAATTTTTGGATAGATGTAGAAAATTTCTTTGAAGAATATAGAAAAAGAAATAGTTTTATAGTAATTAAATATCATATAAAGAAAAATAAAGCTAGAATAGTTTATAAGAGAACTTTTATTTGTAAATTTGAAAGTAAATACAAACCTGCTAAGAATAAAGTAGTTTTTCAAAAAAAATAAACAAATAATTACAAAAATAAAAAAAATTAATTATCAATAGCATATAAATCTTTTTTACAAAGAAACTGAAACTTATATATTATTTACTACAATTGTAAATAAATATAATCACAACATTAACTTTGATATACAAGAATTTGGATACAAATACTGTACTCTTACTAAAGATGTCTTAAAAGAGGTAAAAATCATAACAAAATATGGAGTTTATTCATTACAGCACAATGGAATATATTTAAAGATTGCTTTTCTAATTTAAATTTTCTTGATAGTGATCTTAACAATGCTATTCAAATTTTTAAAAAAAGAAAAAAATAAATAGAACAAATGATGTATCAGACCTGCTTAATTACTTGTTATTTAACAAAATACATAATTTTAGATAGTTCTTAGAATTTGAATTAGACAAAAATAATAGACTAATATAGCTGTTTTGAATGTTTTCTGAACAACTTAACTTGTAGTTAAAGTATTATAATGCAGTTATTAATAATATTATAGCAAAAACAAAGAATGTTCTATAGAATAGGTGGGCAAACTCTGCAAACTTTGCAACTCCACTATTAAAAAATTAGTGATTACTAATACAGTTGTTTCTCGTTAATATCAACCCTATTAATATCAATCTAGGCTATATAATGAGCTTTTATATATTGAAATTTTCTTATATATATCAACTTTAATATGTTCTCTCATTAATATCACTATTAATATGAATATAAGAATGATCTAAATAGGTTGATATTAATGAAGAATGACTGTATTAGCAAAGTTTATTTCTTATATTGCCACCTATTCTATAGAATATCCAAAACAGATATATATCAAATGCTATTAGAGCTATTTATAATTATTGACAACTATAAAAGAACTTGACTTGTTTGCCAGGCCTTAATAAGCAACAAAATACTTGATATTTATAGTTGAATTCTAATCTGTATAAAGAATACAATACAATAGAGCTCTTGGTCATATTTACTGATATGGATCTAGCACTTAATACTGTGATTTGTATTATTTTTTCTAAAACATATACTGCATATTGCATTTTTTATATAGGCTAGAATTTATCTAAAAACCTCAAATCAAAAATAAGTAATAAGTAAAAAGATTTTATAAAGACTTTTATTGATGTTATAATAGCTTCTGTAAATTACTTTTTTAAAAATAGTAGAATAATATGCTTAATAAATTTCTAATAATGAAGGATTATTTGTTATGTATTTTGCATTAAAGCAGGTAGTTCTGGGCTTGTACCTATCTATTAAAAATATTTATAGCTAAAATAAAAAATATAGTCTGTGTTGAATCATATAACTAAATTATTAAAAAAATCAAATCTAATTACTTATTGTATAAACTAGTAGACCGTCTTGATCAATATTTGAAGATACTATAGAAATACAATAAAATAGATTTTATTTATATAAAGATTCAATAACAGTTTTCACCATTTCTACTTCTAAATATATTCTGTTTCTAATAATAACTCAAAACATTAACAAATATCTTACAGAGGCTATTAACAATATAATTAAAGATAAAATAGCACAGTGTTTATTTCTTATAGTTAATAAGATGGTGCTAATATCTAATGAACTTAATACTAAACAGAAAATTAATAAGAAGGCTTCTTGTAGATTTCTTGAAAACAATTATGATACATACTAAACTACTCTTCAGTCTATAATAAATGAAATTAGAAATAAAAATATTAAGGAAATCTGAAGAATATTTAATATTTGTACTGAAAAAAATTATATACATTTTATAGTTATTTTAAACTCAATATCCTTTCTTGTTTATACCTTATAACTATTTCAAAAAGGCTTATTTGTCAACACTATTTCTATATAATAATGCATTCTAAAGTTGTAGCATTTTATATATCAGTAATTTATTCATAATGGTATAAAGATTTTACCAAGTATATAAAGATAAGAATATTATATTTAATCATAAAAAGAAGATTATTAACAATGAAGAAATTCTTCTAATTCAATAGTTATCTATAATTTTGGTTATAACTTCATCTATAAGAAAAACTTAAAAAAAAAATCAATATAGTAAAGTTTAGGATTAGCTTGTGAAGTAATAACATTAGCTATAAACACTAATGATAATAAAATAATTAATATTCTTCAAAGCTATATAATGAAAAAAAATAAAATAAATGTATATAATGGTAATATTCAAAATAAAAAAAATAAAAAAAACTTTATATTTAGTTAATATATAATCTAATTCCATTATATGAGAATTTCAAAAATCTATTAATGACAATGTTGTAGATGATCAAGCTATATTGGAGAGAAGATTATAATAATGCTATGAATGAATATCAAGCTATATCAGAGGAAGAAGATGAAGACAATGCTGTAAACAAATATTAAGTTATTTCAGAAAAAGAAAATAAAGACAACAATATAGAAGAGCATCAAGCTATATTAAAACAAGAAAATAAAAACAACAATCCTGATAATAAAATGCTTAATAATGAAGCAATTAATATCTAATTTTCACAAAATTCACCTATATTGTTAGAAAAGAATAACTATTTAAGCATCATTATATAAGCAGTATAGAAAAAGAATAAAGTAAAGAAAAGACTTCTTCTAGAGGTTCATATAAATATTATCAGTATAGAGAGGTGGATCACAATACAGCTTATCACAAACAAAGTAAAGAGAAAAAAAAAGAAAGAGATAGAGGTAACAAGAAGAGAAGAATTTAATAGATAAGTATACACATATGTATATATATATAGCTATATATCTAGATCTAACAATCTTATTTTCTAAATTAATATAATAGATGTTCTATAATGTTCTATATGAATGTAAATTAGTTCAATTGGCAAATTTTTTTATTAGAAAAGGCATATACTAGCATAATAAATTCTAAATCAATCTGCATTAAGAAATAATATCTATTATAAAAATGATTTTTATAATTAGATCCAGAAAATTAAACTATATATATATAGTAACAAAGAGCTATTCTTGTATATATAAAGTAATAACTACTATATATCAATAAGCAAATTTGAAAATTTACTGTTATAGTATATCCTAATATAAATTATTCTAAAATAAATTCTATTAAATCTTTAAATTTGCTAATTAGACTAATTTAAAAACTTTTATTATATATGTATATGTATATTTTTATATATGAACTGGTTAGAATCAGCTTTAATATACAAATATAAAAAAGTAATAAATAATTATATTGCCTCTTAGATTTAAAAAATAATTATTTTATAGGATGTAATATCTAATTAAGTTTAATGAATAAAATAATTTATATAATAATAGAATATTTTTATTATTAAAATAAAACAACTTTAATTTAAATATTTAATTTTTAAAATTCTAACTCCCAAGATTTCTTTTCTTTTTCTATAACTAATAATAGCTAGACTTAAATTAGTTTATAAATAGAAAATTAAGAGATGATTTACTACACTTAGGTGGCTATATAAGATACAATAGATCGTTGAAATTTACTATTATCTTAATACAAATATATAACTTATCTTATCATATATATAGCAAATTCAAAATAAAAAAATTTTAATTCAACTTAAATAGATTTAAAATCAATTTATATTTTATTTTTTTTTATAATTTGGCAGTTCTACTGTTTTTATTTGAGATTAAACTATATTAAGAAATTTACATTTTATAATAATAGCTATACTAATCTAATTAACTTATACTTGTACAAAATATGATCTGTCTCAGTGAACTTCAAGTCTCTTTTCAAGCCTCTAACTTACTAGAAGAAATCCTTCAATTATAGGCTGGTGCCTCACACCATATCAGAATTGCCTTTTCTTTTTACAAAATGAAATACAAATACAAATACAAAGAGCAAAACAAAAATAAGAAAATATCTCAACATCAAATTCAGGTCCACCTAAACAAATAAAACCAAATAAAATAAATAATAAAAGAAAAAAAATAAAAGAAAAGAAAACAAAGACAACACTATTAATCTATACCAGGTTATAAAAATTATATACTACTACAAATAACTTAGACTAAACTCTATGCTAGTTATTTATGTCTATATTCAGAATGTAAAAATATCAAAAACTATTTGGTCTTGAAGTAGAGCTCTAAAAATCAAAATTTCTAGTTGCTATCCCAAATAGATCGACAAATCTTCTGTAATGTTTTAAATGTTATTACATTAAGATCCTAATTTTATAAGTAAAAATAAAACAGCACAAAAGAATTAAAGTTTGGAAATCAAGTATGACTATACTATAACTAAATAATTATTACAAATACTGATATAGTTACAAGCAAAGACTATCAAAGATTAAACGGAACAGCGAAACAGCTTTCTGCACTTTAGTCTCCTTCTTAACCTTGTTGCCAACTGAGTCAGCAACTGACAAAAACAACAACAAGAATAACAGAAAGTATGCTATAGGTGCTTAAGAAAAGAAAACACGACCTACACACACCTACATAGAAAACTACAGCTTAATAGAAGAACAAAATAAGAAAAAAAAGCATAAAACTGTGAATAATATTTCTGCCTCTACACCACCCACTATAGACAACAATATGGTCGAAGAAAAAATTAGGGAATTGGCAAATTCTAGCTTATCCCCGAATCTGACTGAGATGACATCATCACACAAAACAACAACAAACCCGATCCAGAACCCGGAACAACCTACAATATACAA